AAAAAGCTGGAGAATTTTCAGAAAGAAAAATGGGTATGACGATGGAAGAAAAACCCACCCACACAAACAAGAGCCCAAACAAGTGATGATACTACAGAAAGGAGAAAAACCCAAAAAAATCAACTCAACAACGCAAAATGCACTACAGAAACAAAAACAAGGAACCATAAAAAAGGGGGGGCTGGCTCATCCTACATACGTTACAGTGTCAATCTGTGGGAGAAGTCAAGAACCCACCAAAAATGGAAAAAGACAATGAAATATCATACGTTACACAGTCAATCTGAACTTAAGAACGCAAAATGCACTACAGAAACAAGGAACCAAAAAAAAGGGGTGGCTGGCTCATACTACATACATTACACAGTCAATCTGTGGAAGAAGTCAAGAACCCAGCAAAAATGGAAAAGGACAATGAAATATCATACGTTACACAGTCACTTTGAACTCAAGAACGCAAAATGCACTACAGAAACAAGAAACCAAAAGAAAAAAGACAACTAATTGAACGGAGCTAACCGATTGAAGAGAAGGAGAAGAGAGGCGGCGAGCACTGGTTGCGGTGAGATAAGGCAAAAATGGAGACCTCAAAATCGGAATTGGAACTGGAATCGAGTGGTCGACGAGGTCAAAGAGCGGCGGCAAAGTCGATGATGGAGGAACGATGGAGGCTCATCACCGTCGGTGAGAGGAGAGAGTGCAGAAAGAAATTCATTTTGAAATTGAAATTCATGGTAAGAGAGTTAAATTGAAATACACTGTTTGTATTTCAATTAAATCTAATTACATTTTATTTATATAAAAATAAATAATAATATTAAATTTTAAAAATTTAAATTTAAATAAAATTCATGTTACTAAACAGATAGTTGAAATTGAAGTAGATTTTCTAAATTTAAAGTGAAATGAAGGATAATTTAGTAATAAAAAGATTTCTTTAGTATTTAGGTGGAGCCTACTTAGCATGCCATTAAAAAAAAGGCCACATCACTAATTACATCACGTTTGGAAAATATAGCAGACCAGACGGATTCTGTCAAAATTTGGGACCTTCGTATGGGTAAAATTCATGACGGTTTTGATTATGGCTAACAATGTTTTACAGGGTGCAAAAATAGGGAGTGTGGCACGCTGACCTTCTTTTAGCTGTTTTTGTCCGTTACATGGTCAAAAAAAATTTTGAATTCTAATATCAAGATATAGACAAAGCTAGTTTATAAAAAATATATATATATATATATATATATATATAAAAAAGAGGAAATTACAGCTTGCTATGACATAGCTTTATGTACGTGTGTGTGCCATGACATAGCTTTACGCGCGCGCGCGCCCACGCGCGTGTGTGTGTGAGAGAGAGAAGTGTTTCTGTAGGTCTTTTTTTCTAATTTTTTCAGATTTAAATTTTTTGTAAAATTTTATTTTCTAATTAATATTTTTAAGAATTAATTGTTAAATTAAAAATTTTATTCATATAGATTATGCATATTAATTTTTAAATTATTTTAATAGATTTACTACTTCATTTATCATAAAATACTTAACATCATTAAATGTAAATCAGTAAATAAAGTTTATTTAATTAAAGAGTTATAAATATTAATTAGATCAACATAAAAATTGACATATATAATGTTATAAATAGAATTTTTAATTTAATAATCGATTTTTGAAAATATTAATTAGAATATGAGTTTTTACACAATTACACTAAAAGAAACTTTTAAGATGATAACTTACTTTACACTATCCTCTATGTATATATATATATATATA